AATTAATCATTATAAAAAAAATAATTATTAAAAATTGATCATGTGATATATCAAATAATAGATTATTAAATAAACATTAGCAATTCATTAACTAATTATTTGATTATATAACTAAAAGTTAATAATTTAAGTAGTAAAAGGAATATTAATAAATTATGTATATACTAATTATTTTTCTTAATACACTAATTAATTATTTATAATTTAATAAATATGAGTACATTACTAACATAATAATTATTTATAATTAATTACTAATTACTATTTTTAATTATTTAACATATTAGTTTATTATATATATAGTTTAATTACTAATTTACTCTTTAATGATAATTTATTCATTATTATTATATTATTAATATATTACTTTTTATTTGCTAAATAATTATCAATTATTAATTACTTTATATATTAATTTAAGATTAATAATTATGGTTATCTTAACTATCCACAACAATTAAACCTCACAATTTACCAAATGTTATTACACTACTTTTCGAACCAACAACACTTGTATAATTACAGTTTACCAAGCACTCATATGTTTTTTGTAATAGCTGCTTTTTCCTTCAGCACAATTAAAAATAATTTTTTCAAAATCTACAACACTACCAAACTAGCCCTAAGTTATGAACAAAATTATTAAATTTCAAAGAGTCTTCCTTAACCTTGAACTGCATTTTTCAAAATAATGAGTGAGATTGTAATTACGAGTCTCCAATTAAGATATGAAAGAGGAAACAATATAGTTACAGTTTACCAAACACTTAGCTATTTTTTGTAACAGCTGCTTTTTTCTTCAGCACAATTAAAAGTAATTTTTTAAAATCTACAACACTACCAAAGTAGAGTCTTCCTTAATCTCGAACTGCATTTTTCAATATAATGGGTGGGATTGTAATTACGAGTCTCCAATTAAGATATGAAAGATGAAACAATATAGGCTTGTTTGATTGCATTTTTTAGTTATGGTGACTTGAGTGTAGATTTTGAGTTAAATTTGAGTTATAATTTGAGTTGAAGCTGTAATTTAAGTTTGTGTTTGAATGTGCACATTTGAGTTATGATTTGAATTGAGAATCTATTTGAGTTTTGTGTTTGAGTGGGTCAAAACTTGAATTTGTATTTAAATAGTATTTTAATACAAACTCAATGGTGATGAAAAATTTTAATAAGGTATATGGGTGGGGTTTTATTGGTCTCTTCATTGTGAACGCATAGAAAAAAATCATCTCAATCGGAATTAAAACGAAAAAATTATGACGTTTTTAAGAATAGAAAAAATGTTGTTCATTAACTTGAGTTTGAGTTTAAGAACTTGAGTTGAAGGGGAAACTTGAACTCAGATTTTAGCCCCAAAGTCAAGTTCAAACTCAAGTTTAAACTCAAATTTTACAAACGAACATAAACTTGAATAAAATTGTAACTTGAGTTCAAATTTTTTTTTTTTCCTATTCTTAAGAATTTGTTGAAAATTAATTTCCTATTCTTAAGAATTTGTTGAAAATTAATTTCCTATTCTTAAGAATTCTTTGAAAACTAGAGTTTTGTAATACTCTAAAAAGAATTTGCAATGCTCCAGTTTACAGGAAATATTCACTAAAGTACTTGGCTTGTGGGCCAAGTTTAAGTGCATGGACATATATGCCCTTCTGAACAGGTTGTGTCATGCATAAGTTAATTAACAAGAAGATGCTCGATTATCTTAGAAACGTCCATATGGCATTCCTTGATCCTTACTCTCTTCCGGGCTCTAATCTCTCTCTCTCTCTCAACATTTCTTGAACCAAAAAAGTCCGATCTTCGTCACGAATTGCTGGAATTCGACATTTGTACCCTCCTGGTATGCTCAACCGATCCAAATCCTCCGTTATTTCACTGAAAATTATTTTCCTGTAATTTGAGATCGATTTCGTTGTTCCGTTTGTATCTGAGTGAACCTATGTATTTTTATCTATTTGTTTCTTGCTTTGAACTGTTTGATACTGTCCTTTCGTATGTAATATATATTTTTTGTATCCTTATTGTGGAGAGTTGGATGTTGCTCAGGACATGTTTGATAGAATATCCAAGAGAAAATTTCATAACTTGCTAATTGTATAATGCTAAAAAAGTGTTTGATTGATGGAATAGAGAGAGAGAGAGAGAGAGAATTTGTGGAATGTAAACTCATTAATGTTTTGTCTTCTTTGGAATAGAAACTCACAGAGTTTCGTTACTCGGGATTTTTTTCCCCCAGTTTATTTCATTTTATTTTAGTTTATATATGTTTTTTTCATACTTGGAATCCCTTCTTTTTCATAGTTCTGAACAACTTTCAACAGTCCATTTTTAGTTTTTAATTCTTATGATCTGATTGCGTTCTTACTTGGGCAGGTTCATGATTATGGGGATCAACAGCAACTTTTTTCTGTCGTAGAAATTATTTCTTCTGATTGGATCGCCTTCACGTAGATTTAAAAGTCTGCATGAGGGTCGTGTGTAATTAAATATATCTTGCGACTGCTGATAATTTTGAACTCGAGCTAGCTATATCTGCACCATCATGGATACCGAAATCAGTGAGAAAACATCTGGAACTCGACCCAAATGGCGAAAGGTCGCATATGGAGGGATGCAACTTGGGTTTGATGACAACCACACCGACGAATCTTTTCTCGAGGATATGGTCATGAATGCCAATGTTGTTAAGAGGAACATGCTAAAAGTGATGCAGGATTCAGTTTCCATTTCTCAGTATCTGTGTATTGTTGCGCTTGTGGGCTTGGTTTGGACCTATACTCTGAGATCAGTTCTAGATGAGAATTCTCTTTTGCTTCTTGACGTCGGTCTTCTTGGATTGGGCTTCGCGGTTCTTTCATTAACTGGAGAGATGATCTCCCTCAAGCTCCTCTTACATTATCTCCTCAACATTTCCTTTTTCACTACCGGGTTGTATATTCTAGCTCCCGTCTATCACACTCTCACAAGATCTATCAGCTCAGACTCCATTTGGGTGGTGACCGTTTTGCTTCTTCTTCTCCATCTCTTTCTCCACGATTACTCGGGATCCACCGTACGAGCTCCGGGGGCTCTTCAGAATCCTACCTTAACCAGCTGCATCTCTTTGAATGCTTCAATTGTTGCTTCTGTTTTCATCGCTTCGCGTCTTCCGTCAAGGCTCCACGTGTTTGCCATCATGTTATTCTCCCTGCAAGTCTTCCTCTTTGCTCCATTGGTGACTTACTGTATTAAGAAGTACTCATCATGCTTGCACCTATGTCTTTCTTTTTGCCTTATGACCGTGACATTGGGGTTCGTGTATTCCCTGCATCGGCTGCTCTTTGTGACGTTGTTAGGGTTGCTGGTTTTTGTAAATGTGGTCTGCCCGTATTGGCTTATAAGAATTCAGGAATATAAATTTGAGATCAATGGTCCATGGGATGAGGCTAAGCTTTGTTTCGATATAACAGATTGAAAGTTTTAGATCCTAGAAATGTTTCTATAGGGATTTGAAAATTACTGAACAAGATTCATTGTTTCGTTTTCGGAAATTCTTTGCATATCTTCCCTGCATCTGTTCCTCATACCTTTGTTTTTTCTGAACTGGCCTTCAGCTTTTTCTTGTCTTGCACTTGCATACCTCACAAGCAGCTTGCAGGATTTTAGAATCTTAAAACGGTTTTCACAAATAGTGGAAGATGCATTGACGCAACCATAATTCCCATAAATTTTCCATTCCCTGAAATTTTACAGATGCACAAGATTTAACACAGGAGAGAATTATACTGTAGCACTATACCCTGCTGATACGGCAATTTTAAATCGTCCATTTTGTATTAGGTTCTATTAGTTTTGTTGTAGACTTTATTATTTGTTAAGATCTTGACAATATCTAATGTTCAGAAATATGCACCACCAATAAGCATTCCTAGCATTTAACATATCAGTGATGTTTTATCAGTATTGTGTTCGGTAATTTTAGAGTGTGACTTAGTGTAATTTTTTAGTTGAATTTGAGTTATAACTTGAGTTGAAGTTGTAACTTGAATAAAGTTGAGTAAAGTTGAATAAAATGTGAACTTGAATAAAGTTAGAACTTGAGTTTAAACTTTTTCTAAGTTTTGTTGCAAAAGAACAACCCCGTAATTTTTGAGTTGAAGTTGAGGCATGGCACTTTCATTATTCATGGCGCTGTGTTGAGATAAAGTTGCTCGATCTTTTATCAGGACTCGGGCCGACCTTGGGGAATCTCTACTAAGTTGGTTGGTCCAAACTCCAAACGCACCGAGAGAAGAACCATAAGTAAGAATCTTTAAGAAAGTGAAAGACGCTTCTCAGTTCTCAACATGTGTTCTGTAATACAAGGGCATGAAAACGTTGTTCCAATTTTATCGGATGTCCCTGAAGGGACGACAAGAAAACATTGCGCAAAATGAAATAGTGCATCACCTATGCAACAAAACAATAAATCAAAAAATTTGCAACACAAGTCATTCACTTCTCAAAACTTGACAAATGATCTTCAAATCTCTAGTTCAAAGAAAAAGAAGCAGAACAAAATATGTTCATATACATCCTCATTACCAATATATTTCATATACGGCTAGCTTTTCTCTGAGAAATTTCAGCTCAATTCCTTCAAAACGTTAACATGGCGGCGCGGTACATCCTACTCTTCTTTCTTCAAGGATTGAGAAGATTTATCAGAGTCATTTGCAGACTGGTTCACACTAGCTTTGGCCTCGGCAAGAAATGCAGGATCCGGCTCATGTTTATGTGAAGGTTCTTTCATTGCCATATATATGTAGAAAGCAATAACTATATTGACTGATATAACAGCAACAAAGCCACTCACCAATGTCAGAGTATGAGGAGATAAATTACTTGAACCTGTTTCAAATGAATTTATACCATTCAGATAACACAGTAATATTGGGACGGACATTCTTTTTTTTCCTCTTTTGCTCGATTGGGATGGAAAACTTTATGCTAAGTTGATAGGTCCCACAAATATCAGCAAAACGAAGAATTTGAAGAACAAAACAGTAAACATAAATTGACCATGGCAGTTCAATCAGTAATATTCTTAGTTACCATATTCCTATGATTAATGGCCTGGAAGTGAAAGCTAGATAATCTTTTGCATTTAGGGTCCCCATGAGTCCCCTTTTGGACTTTGACATGCATGAAATATGATACAATTAAGTAAACTTGTCCTACGAGACAAACCTAGCAATACCAAAGTGATTAATCACTAGAAATGCAGCGCTCTAAATCAGCCTTAACACACTGATTAAGCCCCCCGAAAAGCTATCACCCTGCGCTCCCACATGAACTCCTTACATGATTTTGACTCTTGACCACCATCTATTCTAGTACTCAAGTGAAAAAAGAAAACACCATTTCAACGCTCTGCATTTCAAACAAATTTTAAAGATCTTCAGGGTCTCACTCTTTCCAATTCCTCCATTAGTTGTCTCTTTACTCACCAAAATCCAATGAGTCGAAAACAGAAAAATCATAATATGAAATTGCTAGAAAAGAAAATTCTCATTAGTTTTTGAGGCAGTGCTTATAAAAAACACACACTTCTCTTGTATTTATTTACTTATTTTTGCCAATAATTCTAAGTAGATATCAGGATAATCCTAAATGCATTTAAAGTGGGGGTATTGAGACATGTGAGCAGTAAATAGGGGAAAAAAAAAAAGAAGAAGAAGAATTTCAATACACAGAATATGAAAACCCAACTTGACTACTGCAAGGCTTTGGAGAACAAAAGAAACTTACTATGAAGTGGCATTAGTTTTCCCGAGATAGCATTAAAGAGGATGCAATCAACAAAACAGCTTTGAAAACTAGCTAAAATACTTGAGGAATTTAATACAAAAGCCATACCAGGAAGCAAGTTATGGTTAAATCCGTACAATATCGCAATGGGAGTCATCCACATAAGCATTGATGCAATAAAGAACTTCTGTATTACTCCTTTCATTATTCTTCAATCTAAAAAGAGAAAAACAATATATTATTTATCAATCATGAAAAAAGTGATTGCAACCCTTAGGGCTCCTAACAGAAGAGAGAAGAGAACTATAGCACGTGAATGTATTTCTCTTACAGTAATCTTTTCAAAACCAAATGTAGTTTCAGTAATATGTATAATTTTCTATTTCAAATCTTGATACAAATCACTAAGTAAGCAAGAATATGTATGCTAAGGTCTCTTTCGAAGGTCAATTCTCGGCTCGAAAGGCTTTATATAAAACTGAGCTATGGTGTTTAAAAAGGAGAATAATTGGAAACAGTTTTAATTTCTTTGGTAGGAAATTAGGAATGTAATGAAAGAACCATACAAAACACGTTGAAACCACTCTCAATCCTACATTCCTACTATGATTAAGCTTGAAGACTAATTATTGTTTCGATGCAGAGACGATTTACATTAAGATGTTAAAGAAAACACAGTGAGGTCCGAGAGGGGTTCGGTTTTCTTATAATCTTCTTCTTCTTCATATCAAATTTCTCCAACAGTTAAAAGTGGCTGTGGCTCTCACATTGAGTGAACTTTATTTGTTTCCTTTCCTTATATGATTTGTATTGCTCTCCGCGATGTAGAATTAGAGCGTCCAATTCTTTAAAAAACAATATCTTGAATCTCGAAATAAGAATGTGTTTCTTTGACGCATTTCATCGAACACCATGCAGTCAACAAAACCACCAATCCATCCCTTGTTCATATTCCAAAAATTCCATAGTAATTCAGTCACTCCACTTTATACCAGAAGAAAAATGGATTCAACAAAACCGCAAAATTATAAAAAAAAAAAAAAAAAAAAAGTACCTGGAACTGTCCCACGGCTCTCTAAGAAGAAAGATGATTAGGGCTCAATGAATCAGCAGATTCCAACCATAAAACAGGAAGCAATTACACAACAAAACAGAACAGAAAGCCAGCAAGATTAAGGTAATCGATCTTAAATGAAAGATATGGGATGTTTATCAACGTTTTTGGCTAAATACGAATGTCAAAACTCGGGACGGGAATCGGAATCGTGATCGGACTTGCTTAATTGAAGAAACGTCGTACTAGAGATTTTCTTCTAGGTATTTTTCACATTTAACCTTTGAACTTATAGGATTTTTGTAACTTGCCCAATAAACTTCTGATTTTAGCAACTTAACCCCTTAATATTGGCAATTCTAATTTTGGCTCCCATTTTCTGTTTTCCGTCCCCTTTCTTATCTCCATAATATAATATGGTTTCGTATCAATTAATATATTTTAAAGAAATTAGGGCTTGTCATTTTGGAGTTTAACTTGAGTATAATTCTTGAGTTGAATTTGAGTTATAATTTGAGTTGAACTTGTAACTTGAGTTTGTGTTTGGTTGTGTACATTTGAGTTATGGTTTGAGATAAGAACTTTTTGAGTTTGTGTTTGAGTGAGTCAAAATTTGAATTTGTATTTAGATAGTATTTTAATAAAAACTCAATGCTGATGAAAAATTTTAAAAGGGTATATAGGTCGGGTTTTATTCTTCTTTTGTTTGTCAACGCATAGGAAAAAAATCATCTCAATCAGAATTAAAACAAAAAAGTTATAACATTTTTAAGAATAGAAAAATACTGTTCATTAATTTGAGTTTGAGTTTCTGAACTTGAGTTGAAGGGGAAACTTGAACTCGAGTTTTAGTCCTAAACTCAAGTTTGAACTCGAGTTTAAACTTAAAAGAACATGAACTCGAATAAAATTGTAACTCGAGTTACCTTTTTTTGAGTTTTTCACTCAAAAGAACAAGCTCTATCGTATTAGATCCATAAATTATACACAATATTATTACTTCTCAATTAGATATTTTAAAGAAATTATTTCTTTGGTCCTTACTTATACACAAAATTATAGTTTGATTCTGATTCTTATTCTTTTTGATAAATAGATACCGGCTATAATTTTCATTTAAAACTTCAATATTTCAAAATCTTTTTGCAGTAATTAAGGTCATGTTTATTTCACAAATTCATGTTTTGTTACAGTAAAAAATTCTCAGAAAGAGTCACATTTAACTTTTTTCTTACAGTAAAAAGCTCTCACATAAAATCATATCTCAACTTAAATAGGCCTTAAATTTTAACAAACAAATTGAGATCAGAAGAAGCAGGAATACAAGTTGGTTTAAACTGATAGCATCCTGGTATCCATGGGTCTCTAAAACATCTAATCTGACTTCCATCACCAACTGCATACCGAAGCCCTTTAAACAGAAGCTGACCGCCCTCAATGAATACTCCTCCATACTAAAGATGGTCTGCTTCCAACAGCCGCATTAAAAAGATCACGATGGCGAAAATATCGAGCCATAAAGATCTTGGGATAAAAGAGAATTTGGGGTTGGATAAAATCCTCCAAGCTTGTTTAGCTAACAAAGCTTGATTGAAATTAATGAAATATCTAAAACCCAAACCCCCCATCCTGTTTTGATTTACAAAGCAACTTCCAACTAAGCCAGTGAATTTTAGATCCTTTTATCAGATCTACCCCACCAGAATTTAAGATTGTATTCTTTCACATAGAGATGTAGGCAGACGAAAACAACTCATGGCATTAGTGGGGGGAATAGATTGAACAACTGCTTTAAGCAAAATCTTATGTTTAAAGATAAAATTTCCTAAAAATTTAACAAAGCTTTAGTTTTAATTGTTTTTTTTTTTTTGGAGATTAGTATCAACGTTTATATTTGTATTTTATTTTTTTTAAAGAAAAAAAATAAAAAATGCCACTTAAGATAGTAAAAACTATTATTTTTTACATCTACTTTTTTCTTTTTTAAATGTATAAATTTTTAATAATGTTTTTATTATTTTAATTTCGAATATAATTTTATTTATGTCCCCCACAAAATTTAAATCTTGAATTCACTGGTTATCTGTTCCTTCATCTCCCTCACTTCCCTGTCGGATATATATATATATATATATTTATATGTTTATATATTATATATATTATGGAGTTTGTTGATTGATTGCCCACACCCGTTTAGTTCATGGATTAGAATTATTTTCGATTTACGTGTATTTTTTGTGAGAAAAAATACTGTAGCGAATCATGAACCATGATTCGAATCAGAGAACGAATCCTCCAACCGAACGGGCTCATTATTGAATGGAGTTAGGTTGGATTCAGATGTTTTAAATAGTGTTTAACAAATTGTATGTATTATTTCGCTTAATTCATAGATTTAAAATGTAATTACAATCTTTTTGTACAGTATTATTTTCTCTCGTAACAATTTAAATTTCTATTTAAATTTTTTATTATATGGTCGGTATAGGCGTGTAAAATTAGTTTTATAGGAGAAAAAAACTATCTTCATTTTATTCGAAGAGGGTGAAATAAAGTCTGTAGATGCTTCAAGATCGGGTTACAAATAATCCATTACAATGAAAAATCAAGAAATCTATTAATAAAGTAGGAGAAAAACTTCCCCTAAAAAACTTGGAGAAAAACTCCGAGCTAGAGGGATAAAACTTAGAGCTCCTTTCCAATCTAAGTTGGCCCTTCTAATTTTTTCATTGAATAAAGTTGTGGTATCCAATTTTTGACGAGGCTTCTAGATCTCATGACATTCCCTAGAAAAATCAAATTTAGAAAAGGAAAAAAAAAAAAAAAAAGATACAACCAATGGATGCAGATTTACATCAACAAAAACTTGGTTTCGATGTTATAGATCTAAATCTAGATTGCCATGATCTACATTGACATCATAGAAACATTACTAGAAAAACAAAAAATAAAAATTACAACGATGAAGAAAATATCCTACTAGGAGATCTTGGAAAAGAAGAACAAGGAGAGAGGAGGTGGCTACAGTTGTATTATTAAGGATTTATTACAAAAATTTTCCCCAAATTATAACCCTTGTAACACTTTGTTCTTGATCATTAAAACGTAATATTTATTTCCCATGACCAATGAAATGTTAACAAAAAAATCCCCTCTATTAAAATTTTAATGAAAATTAGCATTTAATTAGTTATTTTTGGAGTATTTTAGTAACCCTGAGGTTTAAATTTAATATGAATTTAAAACTAATTTAAATTTAGACTTTTAATTATTAAACACCCATCATTAATTGTGTCACTGGAAGTGAAGAAGATTTATTGTTTTAATTATATTGTATGTAAATTGGACTAAAAAATTAGGGTGCATGGTTAAAATGGTAATTGTGTTCTAAATTGTTTAACAATAACTGTTATTTATGTGATACGCGTCTAAAATTATTAAAAATCTTAATGGATGATGCATTTTTGTTACCCGTTTTATTGTTCAAGAAGAACGAATGTTACATTTTAAATATCATAAGATAAAGTGCTACAAGTGACATAATTCAAGAGAAATTTTTATAATTAATCCTATTATTAATTCACGAAAGTTTAGTCGCGGGGACGACATGCTTGGTTTCATACGATTGTGCAGATTCTGATGATCATAATGATTTGTTTTGGTCATGTGCAAGTCTTTATTTTTTTTTCGGGCTTTGAGGACCAAAAAATGAAAAAAGTCGGTGTCACTTATTGGAAGAGTACGTATTCATTATATATATATATATATATATATATATATATATATTCCAATCAGTGTCATTGTCCATGCCTTTGTGTATATGAGTTCTATATATGTGCTGTATTTGTCAGGGTCATGGCGTGCAAATTAAACTAGGGTATTTATGATTTGCACATCATAATGTAATAAAGTTATAAATTAATCTGTCTGTGATGAAATTATAAGTTTCATCATTTGGGTCGCTGCGTGTCTAAGGTTTTCGTATATATTGTATTTGTCGCACACTTTTGCCTGTGGTGTGCGAACTACTGGAGCTATCATATAGCTTCCAATAATCATGATGTAAAAGAGTTATGAATAAAACTGAATTTGTCTATCTGTTTGGTCCTTTTTGTATGTTATAATATGTTGATCATTATTATTAGAGTTGTAATATTTATGATAATGATCGCGAGTCCAGATTTATTGTCCTTATTTTCTTGTATCGGTGGCTGTCCCTCCATTAATTATTTGTCATGTTATTTAAAATTAAGAATTTGACCACATAAATAGAAACAAAATACTAAAAATACTTAAACAAACACGAGATATCAAATTTTAATTGGTGGGACAACCACCAAGACAGAAAAATGGGACAGCAGATCTTGATTCAATGATCACATTTTCATATATTAATAATCAAACCTTACCAACTTTTTCAAATTTTTAATCTTATTTTATTTTCAAAACGTTGCAATCTTAGTTATACTATGGTTAGTAGTTTATCATTGAGTTTTTGTTGTTCGATTTCGTTAATTACGATGATGAATATTATCATAAAGTTATCTTTGCACTCTTGTTATTAGGACTAATAGCCTTAATATACATATGATTCTATTTAACTTTATAATAAAATGAAATTGTAAACATTTTAAAGTGAAAACTAATATTCAGATATTTTCATTTTCTCATGCTTTAATACAACAAAGTTTAGTTTTCTTACACGATATACTGTTTCTTCAGTATGGTATATAGAATTTAATCATTAAAGCGACATGCGGTTTTATGTCAAAATTTGTTGTGGTTCAGTTCATTAAACGCAAGTTTCTTACAACCAGAAGTCTGATGACGTTCATTTCAATAATATATATATATATATATATATATATCATGACGTTTTTATTGTGAACGACATGTCGTTAAGAAAGAAGAAGAGTGATGAAGAAAGAAGAAGAAGAGTGATGAAGAAGAAGAAGAAGAAGAAGAAGAAGAGTGATGAAGAAGAAGAAGAAGAAGAAGAAGAAGCAAGGTGATGAAGAAAGACGAAGAAGAAGAATGATGATGAATTAGGTAGGTAGATAAATCAACATAAAAGAAATAGACTATCTTTGGAAAGAGAATCCAAAATCTTGTCCAATTAATTATTAGGTTTTGTAGTCCTTATGAAATGAAGCAATCACGAATAAGACTGATTATATAATTTTCCTTATTTGTCTGACCATTAATTAGTCTTAGACTTGGATTCATACTACTAATAGTGCTAATGTAAACACCACTTTATGACCTTATTGCAAAAAAAAAACAAAACAAAAACAAAAAAAACAAAAGAAAGAACATTCCAAGAGCCATCATGGGCATACAAGTTATGAAACTTGAAAAAACAGGCCATTCATTAACTCAAACATTATTTTCTTACAACTGAATATGCAGTAAATTTGCCTCTCACTTGCAACCTTTGATCACTTTAAAAACACTGGCCAACTTTTACTAGCATCGACATTTTCCTTCTCAGAATCAATCAAATTGAAAAACCTCGTAAAGTTATCGGTTGCGAATTCAGGCAAGCAAAGACACACCACCATGGCCCCGCCAGAATCAGCCTCTCCCTCAGGCAAGAAAACACAAACCTGCGGTGTTGGAGTCAAGTCAATAGGACCAGCATAAATAGGCCTTCCCCACCCAAAATCAGCAGACTCATAAAGTGAAAACCTTGTCCACTGAGTTATAGTCAATTTGCCTCCAAACTCCAGCCTCCTCAGCATGTCCACCTCGACATAGTCGACCGTTGACTTCACATACTCCTCGGTGATTCCCATTTGTGCTTCACGTACTAAACAAGCTGTGTCAGAGAGACTACCGTTGATAAGGTTGGAGACTGTGCTTGTCACACATGCTACGCAAACCACATTGCCATAGAACCCATCTTTTAATGGCGGGTTCTTCAGCTTCTGGCGAGCATTGACAGAAAATGAGAGCCTAAGCTCACAGTCAAGTGGCTTCACGTCAAGTGCCTTAACCCATGATCTCCAAATATGAGCTGCCATGGCATCAAATGTAGAGCAGGATGTGATCTCATCTTTTTGAGCAACAGTTTTCAACCATGATTGAAACTTGTGGCTAATCCTATAACACTTTTGAATTGGCTGAGCTTGAGATATACTTTTGGTCAGGCTTGAACGGTCTTCAATTCTCATGAACTCAATGTGTGGGAACTTTACCAAAGGTGGCTCGCGAGGTTTGAAGAACTCTCTATCCCAACATGGCTCAGGGTCCGCGACTAATTCCCCTTCTTTTGCAGTTGCAGCCCATGATCTAATAAGTTGCATTGCACCAAGTCCGTCGCAGAGGCAATGGCAGAGCCTCAAACCAATGCTGAAACCTCCACAGCTAAAAAGAGTCACCTGAGCTATGAGCAAAGGCATGTCAAGGAGTTGGTAGGGCTCTTCGTCAGGGAACCTGAAGATCAATGGAATCCATGCCGGGTTTGGCACTGAGAGGTCGCCTAAATCAGCTAAGACCATCTCGGCATGTGCCTCCACCATGAGAGCGCCTTGATCTGGCCCGAAGAAGACTTCGAGCTTCCCATTCTTGGTCTCTCGGAGCCTACCAGAGAAAGGGTAGTACGGGACCAAGACACACGAAAGGGCATTGCGCAAGGTCTTCATGACTGGTTTGTGGTGATTTGATGAGTAGAAATAGACTGTTGGAGTGAAGACCCGAGATCCAATCATGTTATCAAGGTTAGAGAGATACAGACTTTGGCCATGAGCAATTGGGATAGGCCCTGCAGGCATCACTGAAGACATGTGGTCTATGGTAATGGGGATTTCGAGGCGAGGGAAATGAAGCTCTTGAATCCATGGAGACATGGTAGAATGTGTTGAGAGAGGTCATGCCGCGTTGCGGCATTTGTAGACAATAGATACTTGCTTTGGCATGCAAAGACGATTGGTTTGGCTAAAGATGAGCAGACTATTAAAAGTGATGGTTGGTAAGAATCAGTTGGTGGAGGTACCGTTCGCGTGAGAGACATTTCTCTCTTGGTCCATGACTTTTTTTTTTTTTAATTGTTATCTAGAATTATTTTGAGGAAACAATAAAAGACTGATAATCAAATTTGAAAGCCAAGACAAAAATATAGCACCCCATCACAAAATTGGGAGGAATAGACTTGGTAACTGATTTATTAAATCTATAATTTATATAAATATATATTTAACATATGGTTAAGGGTTCGAACTCTTCACCGTATGGTAGAGACATGTGTAGAATTACCTCTAAGCTATGACTGCAACCACTGTAAATCTATTTTATGGAGTATGGAGTTCCAAAAACATTTTCTTCTTTATTTTTATCACAAGTTAAATCAACATTTAAGCCGTGTTTGGAATTGATTTTTTTTTTTTACGTTTTTCGAGAAAGAAAAAATGAAAACGTTTCTAAAACAGCGTTTGGCACAATAAAGATAAAAAATGGAAATAAAAACGATTTTTTAGTTTAGTGTAAAATGAGAGAGAAATGAAAAATAACTTTTAGTCATTTTTCATTTTTTGTTTTCGTTTTCTCATCTCTCGAGTAGAGATAAAGAGATAGAGACATTAATGATTTTTTTATACTAAAAATAATCTCTTGATAAAATTAACAAACGCATTTTTAAAAATAATTTCTGTCCGAAATTGAAAATATTTTCATTTTCATTTTTATATAAAAAATAAAATTATTTTAAAATGAATTTTAAACGCGTCCTAAATCTCTCATATCTACTAAGTAGTGTACTTAAAATGCATTTCCTTTAGCCCTAAAAGGAGGTCATAAAGAGTGGATTTAAAAAATTAAAAAAAAAAATAAAAAAGAAGAAGTTAGTAAAAGGTGGGAAATACAGTAAGACTGTAGTAAAAGGTGGAGGGAATACAATAAAATTGGGCAGACAACACGGACTTAATTGAATTGGGCCTAACCGATAATTGTAAGTTTGGACATGAACAAACAGGCCAACTTAAAGTCCGTCATTACTCGCCCGATCTCAACCCACTTAAGAGTTCGGGCTAGCCCGGCATGACCCAAGCGGCCTGAACTTTCAGCTCCAAGTTGCCTTAGTAAATTAGATTATCACTTGTATTCCATTTTATCCAATTAGGTTTTAACCTAATGATATAGTCAAATACAAATTCACTTAAAGCGATATTCCTCCAATTCAACAATTGAGCTTTGATATGAAAAGTTCTTAATGATAAGCCCAAGCTTGATCCAAGGCATGCCTACTGAAAACAATTACTATTTACAACTGAAATATTCTAAAAAAATTCGCCAATGAGGGAATATTTGCAGCCAGCTTATAATCCATGAAATCATGTTTGAATCACCAACTCCAGGAAACGTCACATTAGAAACTAGAGTATATCCCTTGTGCAACCTTTGCTTAGTTGCAACCTAGCATTCAACACCATGTTCAATCTTCACAATTTTACTTATTCCTCCATACTAGTTGTGAATAGTGTCAATATTTTCAGGATCAAAATCCTAGTATTACTTGTGAGCTCTTATTAATGTGCTCCAAAACCCATGAAGCTACGGAGCTTCACGGGTCTCTGGAAGACTACGCATTCAGATGTAAAATTCGCACATCAATTAGAAACGTCGCATCGGAAAGATATAAGAACATATTTTCCTTTTTCCTTTTAAGTAAAAACAAGTATCTTGTTGACGTTCAAATTCGAAAAACCAGTTCCTAAAGAGTTTATTTTGACATCCAACAAATGAACAACAGTACATGTTCATATATGAAAAAGAAAAGATAAATTTAAAACAAAACTGGCCGGTTTACCTTACCGGCTGCTGATTGTAGTGATTCTTCTCCTTTTTCTTTGCGGCAGCTAGCCTTGCATTCCTGGCTGCAGCTTCACTCGCAGCAGCTCGTGCGGCAGCATCCATCTCTTTGCTTGATTTCTTCTTCTTCATGGATGTTACTTTCTTTAGCCTCTCTTTGACATCTATTGCGGGTAAATCTTCCACGTTCTCAGCCTCAGCAGTTTCATCTGCTGCGTTTCCTCCATCTGCTCCGTCAGCCTGGTCTTGAGATTCTTTTGACTCTTTTGATTTGTCTTTCTTTTTCTTCTTCTTTGCAGATTTGCTCTCACCAGCATTTTCCTTCTTGTCCACCTCCCCATTGAGGTTCTCTTCTTTCTTCTCTTGAGCAGCACCTAAACATGAAAAAGATAGGCTCACGCAAGAAAGATCAGCTCATGTCAAGGAAATTTGAATAATAAGAAAATGATACTGCTTGTAAAGTCAAATTTAATGGAAATCCCAGCAAACACGTTTCAAGTTGAAGATAGATTGTAATTGGCTATCAAACAGCAAACCACCAGGCAAGAAGTCATGCAGTTTTTTGGCCCGCTTTCAACATTCCTAAATTATACTATCAACTGAAACTCTTTGGTCTCACTAGCATTTAGAATGACAATGCTCTTAAAATGCTTGTAGCACTAATCAACTAAAAAGCATTGAATGTCCCTACCAATTCATCGTAGAAGTTCTAGCTCATGCTCCTTTTAAGATAAAAAAAGTCTAGCTAAGTCATTCAACTCATATAGAGTGGAACATTCCCACTTCCTTATCACAGAAATGAAGAAACAATAGCAGGAAAAAGACAAGATGGAAACAAAATTAAACAATGCTACACTTGTAGCAATCATCAATTGTTATCCTCTTATTTAGGCGACTTATGGGAATAAAAATATTAAAATATTTCGAAACTTTGAAAAACTAGGGCATCTTAGGCATTAAACAAGGTAAACACTCAAATTTCTGGGAGATAATGATCAATTCGTGAGAATGCTACTTATCTGTCATGATTGAGACTAGCTATGTACAACTAACAAAAAGGACTAAAATGCCAAAACATAAAGAAATGCTAAATTACCACGGGAATCATCTTGGCCACTGATTCCTAACTCAGCAAGAACAGCATCAAGTTCTTCAAGCTCCTTTTTCTTCAGTTCTTTCTTGGAGAGCTGCCTTTCTGATTCCTTAGGAGGAACATAAACTTCATCAGGCTTCTTAACTGACTCAGTTTGCAATGGTGCTTCAGGTTCATGCTCATGTTCTTCATCCACATCATCATCGACTTCATCAAGAGCTTCTTCCTCACTCTCGCTTATTACCTGGAATTGAAGTAAGAATGTAAATTCCAAGTTCTGTGAGATTATGAATTTTGGCACTGCTATTAGACACTTTAGGCTCTTAAATCTGAGGAACAAAATTATAACTTTAGCTGAATGGAAGAAAGCAATTCCAATGAAAGGAAGAAACACGGAGTCGGAGCATAATGACCTCCGCTCTGAACTCCAATACTCCAATATCCAGAATAAATATCTTCGAAATGCCAAAGTACAAAACCATAATGCTAATAAATTTTGCAGAATAGGTTTAAAAGTTGTCTTCAAATAAATCAACACTTTTTTTTTTTTTTGCTATATAGGTGGCACGCAATCATAATGTACCAGGGAATTACACTACGAGCCTCAATTTCTTTTATGGTAACTAGATGCATCATAAAATGCTTGGCCTATTTTGGTTAAATCCTTATTTCTCACATTTGGTTAGGTCATTCTAAATAAGAGGATTGTTTGGTTGGGAAACAATGTTTGTAACGCTGGCTTTTAATTCTTTGATTCAAGTCATGTCTGATTTAAACACAAAGAATAAGAAGATTCTTTCCATAAGTCTCTTCACTATTTAGATAAATGCAACAGTTATCGGAGTAGCTAGGTCCCACATTCAAGATTCAACCATCTTAGATGGCCAATTAACACCTTATTGAAATGTAATCAGATAAACATATGGATCATAAGCTACTTGAAAATGTTTTAACAGGCACCATAAATTACCACCTGATACTGAGACCAAATTTTGGATATGCTTAGACGCACTTACATTTCTTTTTAAAAAAGGGAAATTTTCATAGATTAAAAGCTCTGAATCAATCAACCAAATATTCCTTAATCTTCTACGACAATAAACACATGTCAAAGGGGAAAGAAATCCGACAAACTCAATCATTATCTTCAGACTCTGTTACCTAGAGTTATTAAGCAAATGGAATCTGACAAAACTTTGCAGCTACATTTAAAGTCTGCTGTGGATACCGATCGCACGACGACAAAGCAATTCTAAAAACTCGAACATAACGACAAACACAAAACTAAATGCATCCACGAAAGCCGCAGAAAAGCAGGTCATAACAGACAGAGACACGATTAACAAACACGTGTAGACCAAGGGGAATAAACTGCAACTCATTTAGTGCCGGAGACGCAAACTTTGGAGGATCGGCGTCAAATATCATTAAAGAAAGCAAAAGAATAATTGAAGTAGCATTCCGTCTACCACATTGTAAAGCCTTTGACCTACAAACTCCATGACTTAAACATTACCATAAAAACTGAATGCTCGTTGAAACCCTTACTCTTCTAACCCTAAGACCTAAACAAACAACAATATAAGTGGGTTTCATTTGCAAAAATTAACATCATAAAAAACCCAATTCACAATTCTTTTAAGACTAAATCATTGTTCCCAAACTCCTTGTAAGAACGGCAGACGAAATTGATAATCAAGTGAGTGATTATGAATTTAATTCATAAAAAATGAAACAAACAATCAAAACCACGCCAGTACACATTCTCAAAACAACATCCTGAGTCCTCAGAACAATCCAGATTCCAATACATTTCTGTTTTCAGACAATAAACCCTAAATTAGACATCACCAGAACATAAACAAACATATCCATAATACCATATCATAACACACTAACCTCATGCATAACAACAAGATCATGAAATGAACCAGTTAAAACAAAAGAAGAGACTTCTCACCTCAAGAGCAGGCTCACTCTCGGGCTCCAGCTGGGCGTCCTTGGCCGTGGCGGAATCAGCGGTGGCGCCCCAGACCGATTGCGGCGGCGCCGTGACGGCGTAGTAATCGTCATCGTCCTCGTCGTCGACGTCGGCCCAGGACTTCTTGGTGAGCGGCGTCGGAGCCCAAAACACCTCCTTCTCCGGCTCCTTCTCCGGCTTCCTAGCTGAAGAGCCTTTGCCCTTCGACGAGCCCTTCTCCGACGGCTTCTTCTTCTTCTTCAAGCTCCCGAGCGCCGCAAAAACGTTGGTGCTGTTTATCACCAGCGACTCCTCCCTCCTGCTCCCGCCTCCCGCCATTCTCGCCCCCAATCCGAAAGCTCCCAACACAGCAAAGCAAAAGCTCCGAGCTTTTCGTCAATGGAAGAAGAAGCTCTCGAAATTGAAGGAGAAAACCGCAGAGAAGAAGAGGCAAATTAGGGTTTGAGATTGGAAAAGATTATCGGATCTTCCGACGGAGAGAGATTGGTCGATCGGAAGCGAGAAGAGGCTAAAACGAACCGTTTTAAAGCAACCAAGAGGAGGTTTTTTTTTTTTTTTTTCCTCCTTTTGATGTTTCAGAATTCAGAGTTCAGACCAAAATCCTGAGAGATAACGCTTAAGAACGAGTGTGAGTGTAATATATACATATATATGTATATATATGTGTGTGTGTGTGTGTCTTCTCTCTGTGAGTGAGTTTTGTAATGAGAGAAAATTAGAGAAAAATAAACCCTTGAAGAAGGCTGTGATGTTAGAGAAGTGTTGTATTTTTGTTCGTTTGTGTTGTGTTGTGTGGATTTGGTTTTCAGACTTCAACGTGGCCTTTGGATATGCACGCGTGATGGGCCTATATCCGAGCACGTGTCGCCAACAAAATAGAGGAGTTAATTTACCGGTGGATTAACGATTAAAGTGTAGTTTTTATCGACAATAAAAAAAATAAAATTCTTATTACAGAAGTTAGTCACTCATAATAATATGAGCATTATGTCACTTTCATTTCTGATTTTCGTTTTTTAATGATTAAAGACCCTTAAAACTAGAGCATCTTCTACTTTAAAAAAAAAAGAAGAAAAAAAGAAAAAAAAGAAAAAAACCAAGTTACATGATTATATCTTCGTCAATTTAGTGCTAGGAATGAAAACGGTCAAAATTCAACGTTAAATTCCTAATCTAGCCAGGGAAAAAAAAAAAGAAAAAAAAAAGAGCGATATGAAACACTACCCATAGTTCAAGGAATAATAATGTTTGATTGCGCAAAACAAAAACTAACGGGGCTTAAAAGAACTAAAAATGAATTGTCTACACTTGGTATACGGCTTGATGGAAGAATGTGAGCCCTCCGATCTTATATCGGAACGTGATTATTGGGTTTTTTAAATAAATAAATTAAAAAAAAAAAAAAACAGGTATAGGTTTTACCATGTAAAGTTGTATTATATCATTTAAAAGATGGAGCAATGCTGAATTTTACAAAACTGCATTAAATGGCATTAAGCGTTGTAAGGTTTTACTTAATTCTCTAATATTGTCACGTGATGCATATTATCTTCTTCATTTCTGTTTTCCTTTTCTTACGCACTAAAAGTTTTTTGCCCTAATGTTTTTCTCCCTCTGCATATATCAATTTAAGCTGAGTGAGGTGCCAAAACACAAAAACCGTCAAATTCAAACTAAATCGAATCGAATCGCTAATTATTTTTAATTATTGAGTGGTTTGGTCAATTTTTTAATCTAATTTTTTTAGCGGTTTGGTCTATAGTTTGGACTCCCTAAACTGCTCAATAATCCACCAAAAAATATACATATATAATTTTTTAAATTTTAAAATATTTTTTATATTTATTTTAATTTTTATTCACCATAATGAAGGCTCTACACTTATAAAATACATCATATCGTATTTTAATTGGTTTGTATTAAAACTTTAAATGGTGTATTTTTATTTTTATTGATTAACGATTTTATAATTTTTATGAATTATTGAAAATTTTTTAATATTAAGCTTAAACCATCCAAACCGCTTATAAGTGATTTGTTCCATTTGATTTTTGTCAAAAATATCAAACCGTTTAAAAGAAAAAATTATTTTTAATTTAGTTGATAGTTTAAAAACAGTATAAACTGACTACGAACACCCCTAAAAATGAGCATAATTAAAAGCATGTACATTAAGGAAAAAATAGTTAAAAATGTGCTTTTAACAAAAATAAAAATAGAGTTAAAAGGTGCATTTTCCTAATTTTCTCTTCATCTTTTAAAGCATAGGGATATGAACAGGATAAGAGCCTATTTGGCTGCCATGCAGGGATTTGTCCCAGCTTTTTCCAAATTGTAACTGATTTTGTTTTTGTTTTCAGTTTCACTGTAGATTTTCACGTCCTTTTCAGTTTTTCATTCCCTAATTTTCGTGTCGGGCTCTTATTGGGCCTAAAACAACTCGTTTAAGTTTGGTGAACTAGAGGAATATAACTTTTATAGATAGCTACACGACAACCAATACATATCATTTTGAAAATGCTCACGGGAAAACATCAACCGTGAAGGCAGAAACTGTAAGAACTCTGATCATATATGCCAACTTCAATTTTCAAATAATAAAAAAACATTTAGAAGAAAGAAAAATCAATGAAAATCATCCTCGGAGAGTCATAAGGATTTACAAACAATAGAAACAATTCCTGAAAGACGTGATGAATCCAGATTTTACAAGAAAATTGAGTTGTTATTATCAAAAGTTGTTCCGACATGCTGAATAACAAAACCATAAATCTTCCTTTTAAGCCGATCAACCTTCTCGCTGTTCCTCTCATCCTTCTTTGAGACCACTCTCTCCAACCACTCATTTACTCGTTTCAACTGCGACAAAACCGCAGCAATGGATCCACAGTCCAGGGATAATCTCCCTCCATCAGAACGGCACTCACCGAAAACCCTAAAACCAGCGTCGATGGCCTCCTCAACAAAGCGTAGAAACCACATTTTCATCTCAGATTGCAGCTTGTTTGCAAGCTCAACCGTCTCTTTCATTCCATGACCCTTTTTCCATTGAGCGGTGTTTGATTGCGGCAACGAGATCTTGGACTGGTTCTTGGAAGATGAAGAAGAGGAAGATGACACAAAAGATTGTCGTTTTGACATACTCTTTTGCAGGTTTGATGGGGCTTTGTTGTTGACTTGGGTAGTCAGAAGAGAGACGATTTGGAGATCAGTGGCTAAGGCAGCTTCAACCCAGAGAGAAACAGAGTTTGTTTGCTCATTGGCAATGTTAAGTTTATCACGGGGTGTTTCGGAGGTGTGGCTATGGGCAACGGATTCAGCAATTGTGGTGTGTTTTACAATATCATCGTAGATTGCAAAGAAGCGGTCTATAGTTGGTAGAGGATTCCCAACCTTGGATGTAGACGAGAGTTCTGAAAACATGCTGAAATCGAAAGGATAGAAAAGTTTATGATCATCATAGTGGTCATAAGAGATGATAAACATTAATCTCTTTCAAAGTTTAAGGACAACATCAACAAAGAAAATTTAACCATATAAATGCATCAATCAAACCATATCATATCTACTCAGGTCAATTTTGAAAAATTGTAGCCAATTTAAGTTATATAGAAATTCGTAGAGATAGAGACGAGCATTACCTTAAACTCCTAATAATGGACTCAGTAGCAATTGCCTCCTCTAATGCTTCAGCTGCAGCCGTGGAAGCAAGAACTTTTCTTTGCATGGCTTCCTGCATTTAGGTGTGGTTTAGTCTAATCTAGCATTCTTTCTTTACTAAAACAATCCAACTTTTTGTGTAATTTACAAATTAGCCTCCTAAGTTCAATTGCATAAGTAGCCTCCAAGATGAAAAAAAAAAAGAAAAAGGGAAAAACACACAGATGCCTAGAAACTGACATTTCTTCTTACTAGAAAGTCGTATAACTCTTTGTTACATACATTGACAAGTTGTTCCTCCTAGTTCAATTGCCTAAGTTGCAACAAGCACAAAACAGGTTAAACTCAATAAGTTGGTATAACTGTATAAAATCAGGTTGTTTATTTATAGTACCTTCCCAAGTTTTGCAAGGTCTGTAGAGACTGTCTCCAATGAAACACTCCCATCAGTCCATTTCTTCTCATGAACAGTTATAGCTAGACCCGCGTTGTTCGTTGTTTTTTCTTTCCCCAACAAAGATTCAGGCGAGCTAGACTTTATTTTCTCTTGTGTTGTTGGATCATCACTACAGGATTTGCGACTTACATCACTCAAACGTCTTGAAATGGCAGCCTACATAAACAGAACCACAAATTCAGAATAGAAAAATACCAAAAAACAAAAAGGAAAGAAAAATCATCTTCCACGAAAAAGTCTGCAGAAAAAACAATTACCTGGGTCCGCAAAATGGCTTGCAGATCAGGTTTATTCTTGGAAACGCTCTTCTCTTTTTGTTGCTCAGAGGGGGTTATTGCAGCACCTGGCTCATCCCAACTCTTTCGGCCACTCTTCGCAGAACCTGCAATCGCCTCGGAGACCTTCGCAATCCCTGCAGCCATAGCCGCCATCTTCTTCTTACCGGAAGAATCAGCAGCGCCAGCCACCATCGGCGATACCCTCACGCCCGACAACCTTCTCCCTGGCGAAAGTGAAGCCCTCCGCGCCGCCGGCGAGGCCTGCCGACGCGCATTCGGCGACGGCTGCCTATACCTCGACGGAACTATAATCGCCGGCTCCTTAGCCGACTTCCTATTCTCATCCCGCGCCGCCACCAAGCTCGGAACCACACACTTCGACGGGACCGGAGACGAAGACCGCTTAGCCTTCACCGCCGGTGACGGATCTCTCTCCGCCGGCGCCACAATCGGCGTCGCAAAATTCTTCTTTCCGACAGACGCCGACCTCTTCGCACCGGCCGGAGACGAAAATCGAGAAGGCCTATTAGCCGACCCCTTGGAAGAAGAATCATCGGAATTCCCCGTCATCGGGACATTATCCCGAGGCGCGAGCGGCTGTCTCGATCTGCTACTCGTCTTCTCCGATTTCCCTTCGATCTTCACTTCCTCGGATTGCTTCAAGATAATCGAAATCGGATCGAGATCGGAGTCGGAGTCGGAGAGGGGCTGGATAAGGAAATTGCGGGTGGAGGGGGAAATCCGGGCGATGAGGGTTTGGGGAGAGCCGAGTAAGGGGTGGCGGCCGGGGAGGGGACGGAGGCCGGAGACGAGGGGTAGAGGAGAGTGGAAGACGAGGCGGTCGACGTAGACGAACTGGCCAAGGTGGAGGCGGTTGTTGAGGATGAGATCGACGTCGCGGTCGGAGAGGGAGACGTAAGTGGAGTTGAGGGAGTCGGAGAGGTGGACGAAGAAGCCGTGGTTGGGCCAGAGGTCGGAGGAGCCGGAGGAGAGGGCGGGGACGATGCCGATCACCTGGAGAAGGGCGGAGCGGTGGTCGCCGGTGACTTTGGTCGGAGAGTTCATGGACTGGAGGAGCTTGAGGAGGATTCCTGGGGTTAGAGAAGCCATTTTTTCTGGTTTGTTAGTGAGGAGAGAGAGAGAGAGAGAGATGTGAGAGGTTTGTGCGTGTGTGTGTGAGTGTGTGTGGAAGAGAGAGAGAAGAGAGGGTGTGAAATAAGGGAAGAAAGTTTTTAGGATTTGGCCGTTACGAGATTTCAAATTCAAATCGCCCACCTCTGTTTGTTTGATTCAAATCAACCAATCTAAGGTGTCCCGTTAGTACTACGACCGTTACGTTATCAAGTAACGAGATTGTTTTTCAAGCAAAAAAAAAAAAAAAAAAAGGAAAAAAAAAAAAAAAAAAAAAAAAAAAAGGAAAAAAAAAAGAAAAAAAAAGAAAGAAGTAACTAACGAGTGTTAACTTTTTTTTTTTCTTTAGTAAAGTGTACGTTTATCTTAAGGATTTTGTCTGGTTTAGAATTATAATTCTTAATTTTATTATAGTATTTTCTTTCATAAAAAATTTAAATTTTAAAAATTAGAATTATGAATCATGATTTTAAACTCATGAACTAAACGTCACTTAAAAAGTTAGAACACAAAAAGTTCTGAGGTCGGAGATTTAGACTACCTGTGTCCGTGTTTAATTCCTTCATTACCTCTGTGTTAATGCCTTTAATTATCCATTTGACTCATAACTCATAAATTTGAACAAAATTTAAATTTTTATAAGTGAAAATATTTGTGGTAAAAATGTTTGAATTTTAGTTTAAATTACAAAGCAAACCATGCCCATTAAAGTGATTAATGTCCAATTATATATCACACCATTTCACGGATTTTCCTTTATGTGGTGAAGAGAATTTTTCATGTCAATCAATACTTTTATTTCTTGAAAAATTGTACCGATGCCTCGTAATTCTTATTGTTACCACAACGACTGCCCTTTAAACCAAATTTGATTACATTCACTTTTTTGAAGTAAAACTTCTAAAAATGCTCATAACGCTATTAAAAATATGGTTTACTATGGCAACAAATTTGGACTAGAAAACTTTTTGTTAACTAATTGTTTAAATAATGATAAAAAAAATTACATAAATCGTGTGTGGTGAGCAGTTGGATTATTAAAGTGGGCTGTATATATCCTTTAGCACTATCAAATGTCATTAAAATATAATTAGAGGTAAAACGATTGGGAGTATACCAAGAACATACACGAACACTATACCAAATCCTTTTTTTAACAAGTTAATCCCGTCTTAAGAGCCAATAAAATGTCAATTTTACCTTCACTTAAATGACACATAGGCAGCATGTGATCTATTCCGTACATTTTGAATGCAGGTGTAATTAGAGGACCAACTTTGCCACACCAAGACAAATGTTTAAGTACTAAAGTGACATTTAATCCTTTATATTTCTGTCGGTCCAGCTATAAAAGAACTAGTACACATGAAATCTATGCTGTGGAGAAAAGCTACTATGTCCAGAAAAAATCCAATAATTAATAAGTAAAATTAATTAAAAATTGTATATAATTACGTCTTTAAATCTATAAAAAATATATATATAAGTTCAGAGCTTATGGTTTTTAAGCTTCGGAATTGATTACGAGAAAGTTTGTAAGAGAGCATGGCAATCTAAGAAGAAAGACTATAAAAGTTCGTTCAAAATTCCATCGAGAATTTATGTTGGAATTTAAATGATTAAAATCGGGGACTTTCATGGAAAATCTCATGTCAAGTTTTATGATTTGAGAATTTGTGAAATTATAAAGTAAATTCCAAAATTCTATATTAAATAGTAACATTAAATTTCGTGGCTAGTAAGAGCAAAATAATTTGGTTGATTCTTACTGCGAATTAAGGTGGAAGAAATTTCAATCCGTAAATAATTTGAGAGTACCAGTTATAAGAATTTTCAAGTACAATACAATGTTAGTACTGATAATCACTCCAACACTAAAGAAGTCTTTAACTGCCAATTAGTTAAATCAAAATTACGCGAGTAGCATTTTCGATAGAAAAATGTTGAGCGAACTTGGGAATTGACATTGTCAATGACTATGTCATTACTGAGGCAAAATACAGAAAAATCAAATTTAGACTATTGAGCCCAGAAATAGTTTTAAAATTTGAAAAAGTATAATTTAGTATACGATTAAGAATTTAAATCAACATCAAATTATTCAAAGATTAATATCGAACTGTAAATAAATAGTAAAAATGACTTGTTGGAAAATTAAATTTCTCGTCGGCTAAGTAAATCACTTTCAACCAGTACAAATTATATATGTTTAGAAAGAATCTTTGAGAATATGCACTAGTACAAGACTAGACTTGATTTAAATGTGTACTTAATGAAATTATGAAGATTCTCACTTTCTTTCTCTTCTTCACGTTCACTCTCTTTTTCTCTCTCTCCCTCTCCGTTCACTTTGAACCACCACCGACAGGATTCCAATCTTTTTTCTTTTTGACACCTCCCACAACAATGGAAAGCTTTCGTCTAGTTGAGTTCGGAATGTTGTCATGTGGCCACCAGCTCTTTCGAATGAAGCCACACTCGCCGGAGGAAACATCAGAAATACCCATTTTTCTCGTCGCTGTAACTTCACCATCTGACCTTGGATTAAGGTGATTTCGGTGGCTATGAACTTAGATCGATGAGATGATCAAAACTGTATAGGTGTTGCCCCTCGACTCTCGTCAGATTGCCGTTGTCGGAGTTGCAAAATCCAGCCACAACCGCCATCTCCATTTTTGTTCCTCTGACCATCTGTGGGCGTCACTGCCCCCACCAATCAACTTATAAGTCGACACCCAACATGTTCAGACTAGCAGCAGTCATCAACACCGCCGTTTCGCCAGAATTTGAAGAGGGTCGCCGCCCTCTCATGGTGGAAGTTGATTCTGACGATCCAATTGTTTGATCGTCATGATTTTGGTGTCAAAACACCCATAAGGAAGTGGGTAACAAAAGCCCTTAAGGAAATTATCACCGGAGAATCAAGAAACCAAGTTGCCGATGTTTTCCAGAATCTCTGAGTTCAATCTACACAGTTAGAGATTGAACTGGGAGAAATTGACTCCATCATTGAACTCGGGAAGTTGAAAATGGGTGGGAGTCAAAGGGTGCGTTTGGAATTGGTTCCAAAACGTTTTTATTTTCTGTACGAAAATGAAAATGAAAACGTTTTTAGTTTCATTTTTGAATTATTTCTAAAAATGCGTTTGGTAGTTTTATTTAGAGATTGATTTCAGTTTTAAAAAAAACTGAAACTGAGTTTGGTGGTTTAATTTTTGAAAACATGTAATAATATATTAAATAAATAATATTATTAAATAAATAATATATTAAATATATTAAATAAATAATATTATTAAATATATTAAATAATAATATATTAAATAAATAATATTATTAAATATATTATATAAATAATATTATTAAATATATTAAATTATATTATATTAAATAAATATATTAAATAAACATATATAATACAAAAACGGTTTCAGAAAAGAGGGAAGAAAATGAAAAAGAAAAAAAAAAGTGAAATCCGTTTTTCAGAAAACAGAAAACGAAAACAAGAAAATGAAAACACCTTTTTTTCGTTTTCTGATTTCCACAAAAAGACAAAAACGTTTTTGGTTTTGTTTTTTAAAAAAAATTGCACCAAACACGTTTTTAACACCCGTTTTCATTTTTTTGCTTTGAAAACCGTGAAAAACGAAAACGAAAACGCAAACAAACGGGCCCAAAGTTTCATCGCCATCTGACCACTGGAGCCACCGCCGCGGGTAGCTGACTCTGGTGAGTCTCCGTTCTTGAGGTTCCCGATGTCCGATTGAAGTTCTGAGACCTTCTCCCGACTCAATTCAACGTGCTAACGCAGCAGTGACCTTCGTTCGGTCAAATTCAACTTCGATAAAAATGGTCCAGTACTGATTGCACGTGAATTGAGGTGATTTAGATTGATTGAATGAAGTTCAAAATCGGGTATCTAATGCTTCGATGGTCACCAATGATCATTCACAGCGCTTGTGGCTCTCCTCGAAACCAGTTTCAAGAAAATATGTAGTGGGACATGACAAGCAAGTACTATCGAAACCGTTTAGCTTGGAATCGAGGCAAGTACAAATCTTGCCTACAGTATAATTAAGATAGTAATTTAAAGAGTATAATTTTCATGAAATATGTTAATTATGAAATTATGTTTATGTTCATGTTATAAGCCATACATTGTTTTATATAAAAATTAACGATTTTTAATATTACGACATTAAATATAGGCCTCAACACCACATGAGCCCTATAAGTACATTAATGTAAAGTTTATTAAAAATTTGGCTTATAGATAATAATTTAATTAATTATTAAATTAGTTAATTAAATTATTTTAGACTTAGTTATGATTAAGAAATTTAATTAATTATTAAAAATATATGAATATGAAAGTTAATTAATTATTAAAATTAATTAACTGAACAATTTAGGTGTATTACATGGATGAGATAATTAATTATCTACCTTATCTGTATAAGTAAGGGCATTTAAGAAAAACCAGATCATGAAGATTTAAAGTAATAAATCCTTGTAATAAATATTACGACTTTTATGATCCTTAATAAAGGAAGTTATGTTTTAAGAACAAATTAAATTCCCTCCCGAACATGCTAAAATTCAATAGCATAAGATAAGATTATTCTTACACTCTGAGCTGGTGTTTTTTCACAGAAATTATCAATAGTGGATACGTACATGATGAATTAGTAGATCCTACTTCTGGAGACCGAGTAAGTTAGAATCTCGCCTACAACATGAAAGTTACAGTTTTCAAACTAAGATGTTTTTACCCGCTTTGTAAAAATTATGAAAATGCATGATCAGTACTATGTCCTGTTATGCCATGTTATGTCACAATATGCTATGTCACGATATGCTATGGAAATGGATTATTAGAATTATGCCTTGTTATGCCATGTTATATCACGGTATGCTATGTTATATCATGATATGTTGTGTTAAGAAATGCCATGTTAGGATATGTTATGTGAGTTATACAATAGTTAAATTATATTCGTAGACTCATCTTATGTTAAGTACGATTACGTTTATGAACATGATGTTATGTAGTAACATGTCATATTGCATACACACAATAAGACAAGTGAAACGAAAAAGTTTAGAGTGTCATACCAACCTCCTGACCTAAAGGGAAGGCTCATGTTCAAGTTCAATTCTCTTGACCTAAGGGGAGAATTCAAGTCCTCTCGACCTAAGGGGAGGTACTCATGTTTCAAGATCACGGTCTTGTTGGAACCTGGCAAACCCCAACTCCCCGATGATAGCGTGCAATTGATATGAACACTCAGGCCCACCATGTTAAGTAAGACAAGATTAGTAAATATTTAAGACATGTTCATAATGAAGCATAAATTAATCGGCTCATGCATATTTTAAGAAAGGTTTTGTGTTATGTTTTGCGAGTGTGAATTTCTTACTTGCTGAGTGAAAGCTCATTCAATTATGTTCATGCTGTAGGTAAGAAACCTATCAGCAACATATGATGGGCAGTGGTAAGCGATAGGCGAATGGTGGAGATGATAATGAATACCGCTCACAAATAGTCTTCCACAATCAGTTTAAATTAAGTTATGTAAATACGATTCATGAGTTTCAATTATGTATGTACGTACGTATGGTATAAAAGACCAAGGTTGTAATTTATACAACCTTAATCTAAAAAATTTAATATTTAAATGTTGCCGCAGCTCGTGCAACATATGTATGAAATTTAAAATAAAGAAATTTTAACGGTTAGTTGTAGAAAGATTCTGAAGAGTTATCAAAATACGAATTTATAGCAATACCAAATTTAAAATCGCTTTAGAAGGCTTTAACTGAAGTTATGAAATATTTTATGAAATTAAGTTTAATGTGTTTTACGAAATTAAGTATAATAAGCTTAAATACGTTTTAAAAAGTATTTGAGAATGAACAACGAAATCTAATTTTAGAATTAAATTAGAAAGTTGTAATTTAAATCGAAGAGGTTTTACGAATTTATGATTTTTGTGTTTTACGAAAGTTATTATTTCGTTTTTAAAGAAACGATATTTCAAAAAAAATTATTTCACAAATTCAAGAATTTTACGTTATGTTTTAGGATTATATAATTAAGAGCATGTTTAGTTCGTTGATTCAAGTTTTTAATTCGAGTTGAGATGTGACTTTATGTGAGAGCTTTTTACTGTAGTAGAAAAGTTAGATGTGACTGTTTCTGAGAGTTTTTTACTGTAACAAAACTCAAATTCGAAACTCGAATCGGTGAAATGAACGGAGTATAAGTAACGGTCGCGTAAGCCAAGTCGCTACAAAAACAATGGAAAACAAGCTCACCAATTCTAGATTGTAACTGGGTTTTGTTTAATATGAGGTACAGTTTTGCCTCAGCTCAGCTGTCTTTCTTCCTTAACGTTTGTTTACCAAGAGCCAAAAATGTATTGGCGCTTAATATTATAATGGCGATGAAAAACGATTTGTGTTTGACATTCAATTGTAAAAAGTTAATATGAATGAACTAGTATTATGTCGTGAACTTGTTACTTCTCTTTCTATTTTCATCAAAATATATTTTAAAACGTTGATCTCCTTGTCCAGCTAAACAAACAATATCAGATTATTTATAGTCGAGGCAATTAAAAAAAAAAGAAGAAGAAAAAAAGAAAAGTGAAAGTTGTTATTAAACTCCATTGAACAAAACGTAAAATCTCTAAACGCGTGGCGCACTTTAATAACAGGCTTTCCAAGAACCACGTTAGCAATTCCTTAATTTTATCCTTTCCCTTGGAAATGCACAATTCCTACTAAGTTGGCAAACTTTTTTAACCCTTATATACCCGGAAATATATATTTATACATATAACGCATGGTTTGTGATCTTCTTCTTATAAAGAAAAGAAAAGTTTATGAGCTTGGGATAGTCATATTGCCTCATTGGACATTGACATGGTACTGAGTAATAAAAGTGCAAACTTTACCAAAAGACCAAAAGAAATGCAAATTAACACGTAAAATTTTGCTGGAAAAGCATTTGGGGTTTATTTTACTGGGTAAAGTGGAAAAAGCCCTTTTGGATGGATTCTCATATAAGTCTCCTCAATGGGTTTTCAACTCAAGATCAATGGCATGGTCTTCCTTTTATGTTTTTGTGTCCCCATTGTGCCAAGTAGCAATCTTAAGTTTTTTTTCCCCTTTTTTTAATCAGCGAGAGGATCACTATATAAGTCTGCAACTGGTGTCATCCCGCCCCTATTCTTATTGTCTATTGAAGAAATCCTTGACTTACTTCTACTTATAGGATGAATTTAATTTCACGCAAATTACTATAGGCTCGTTTGTTTCATGCGTTTAAACTCATGATTTTAATTTTTTTTACGGTGTTTTTCTCTCACAAAAAATTTAAATTTCAAATGTCAGAATCATTATCTTGAATGCATGAATCAAACGAGTCATATGATCTAACAACGTACAACCTATCGACCGAAGAATACTTTCTACAATTGGGCTGCCAAGGATCGTACCTAACATCCTGTTAGGAGCAAGAAAGATATACTTACCGCTGCATTGATCTATTTGTTTTTTTTTTTTTTTTTTCAAACTTAAATAAAAGAGACTGAACACAAGATATCATACAATAATGTATTTCTCCCGGTTGTCAAAAAAACACCACTTGGCTGTGTCCCATAACTGAATAACTGAATTAAGGAACGAATCTTCCCCTTTTCTGCTTTTCTTGAATAAGTACTGTACGAACTAAAAAAATAGAAAAAACCAACCAACACAGGCAGCACATTTCTCACCTTCCTCATGAAGGTTCCAAAAAGCCTAAACCAAAATTCCAAACCTTTTGCACCCTTATAAATTCTAAGCAGATCAACCAACAGAATTCCCCTTTCCTTCTCCTTTTCCCACGTCCTTTCTTTCAATCATTGACACTTTGCAGGTTCTTTCTTCCTTCAAGAAATCAAAGATTCAAACAAAGAACAAAAAAATGGAACGACCAAGAAAAGTCCCCCAACTTATCCTTGGAAGTAACAACCTCTCCTTGGCAGTATCATTTCTTGTGTTGTTGACCATGGTTTGTAGTTGTTCAAGCGTTGGCGTGAACTGGGGAACCATAGCCAGCCACAAACTTCCTCCTGGGAAGGTGGTTAAGATGATGAAGGAAAATGGGTTCACAAAAGTTAAGCTTTTTGAGGCTGATGAGTGGATTTTGGAGGCTCTAATGGGGACTAATATTGAAGTTATGGTGGGAATTCCCAACATAATGTTGCAAGAAATTAGTGAGAATCCCAAGGTTGCTGCTGATTGGGTTGAGGCCAATGTCACCGATTATTTGTATACTGGTGGAGTCCATATCAAGTTCAGTCACAAATTTTCTTACACTCCTATATATATATACATATATATATATATATATATATTTCTCGGTTTCCATTATTTTCTTTCTTGATTGTCTTTAAGTAATGGGTTAATGGCAATCCTTTCAACAATCTTAGAATTTTGGGTAATAGTTACCTTGGTCTTTCCAAGAACACTTTTCCTTTTTTGGGTTTTTCTGTTACTGTTTGGTGTGCCATTTCTTTTCTTTTTTTAGTGTCTTTTTTGACCATAGTTACTGTCTAAAAAGTCGTTAATTTCATGTTTTACATTATTTAAATGAGAAAAGGAAACTTTATCAAATCTATATTTTGTCTCTCCTTGTGCTAAAATTTGTCCCTAAATTGGTGTTTTGACAGGTATGTTGCTGTAGGCAATGAGCCCTTTCTTGAAGCATATAATGGCTCATACACACACACCACATTTCCAGCACTCAAGAACATCCAACAAGCCCTCAATGATCAAGGTGTTGGGTCAAAGGTCAAAGCCACAGTCCCTTTCAATGCAGATGTCTACTTCTCCCCCGACTCGAACCCCGTCCCATCGGCAGGTGATTTCCGACCTCAAGTCCGCGACATCACCATCGAGATAATCCAATACCTCCATGCCAATGACGCCCCTTTCACGGTCAACATCTACCCCTTCCTCAGCCTCTACAGCAATGACTACTTCCCACTTGATTTTGCCTTCTTTGATGGGACAAACTACAAGCCAGTTAGAGATGGCGACAGGGTCTACAACAACGTTTTTGACGCAAACTTCGACACCCTCGTTGAAGCCATAAACAAGGCAGGGTTCCCCGACATGAAGATCATAGTCGGAGAAGTCGGTTGGCCAACAGATGGTGACAGACACGCCAATGTCAAGAATGCGAAGAGGTTCAATCAGGGCATGCTGCAGCATGCCCTCAGTGGGAACGGGACCCCGGCACAAAAAGGGAAAATCGAGGTCTACCTTTTCAGTCTCATTGATGAGGATGCCAAAAGTATTGAGCCAGGGAACTTTGAGAGGCATTGGGGGATTTATGAGTATGATGGGAAGCCAAAATATGAGCTGGACTTATCAGGCTCAAAGAGAAATAAAGGCTTAGTGGCTGTGGATGGTGTGGAATACATGCTAAAAAGATGGTGCGTTTTGAACCCAGATGCTGAATACTTGGATGATTTGCCTGATAGCATTGATTATGCTTGTAGTTTATCAGATTGTACTGCTTTGGGATTTGGGTCTTCTTGTAACAATCTGAGTGCCCAAGGAAATGCCTCTTATGCTTTCAACATGTATTATCAGGTAAATGGCCAAAATAGTCGGAGCTGTGATTTTTCAGGTTTGGCTGTGGTCTCAGATAAAGATCCTTCTGTTGGGGACTGCCAGTTTCCTGTGATGATTTCTCGTGGTGGTCAAATGGGATTTTCTCTTTTGAGGTTTTTTGGGGTGTTTGTTTTCTTGGTGATTTTGTTATGATTTTGAAATTCCAATAAATGGGAAAGATGGCATATTCATTGTGCTTTGTGTAATTAGTCGCTATATACGTTGACTTGTGTCACAAGTTAGATTGCATTTTTTTTGAATCTTTGGCGTTCTTTTGAGATAGAAAGTTTTGGAATTAGAGTACTAATTTTTCATGCTCTATTATGTGATGTAGTGGATTCTTGTACAAGGTATCTCAATCGAAATATTCATGACGTTTTGAATTGCATATATGAAGAATATTCTATGCTGAACTGTCCAAAACAGGGGACCAAATGGATTTTTTTGATCTTAATCGTTGGCTTTAAAGCATGAGCTTTCCTAATATACATAATTACCGTTTGATAAGAGATTTCAAAAGTGAAAATGCTTCTAAAAAACAAAGCCAGAGAAATACCATGATACAGTTTGGTATTGTAGTGTGTTTAAAAGAAACACTATTCGGATTTATAACAAAAATAAAAAGCAATAACAAAACTTAAAAATAAATTCATCTTCTTAGACTAATTACAAAATTGAATTGATGTTCACACAGAGTGCTTTTATGCACTTTTAGCAAACGCTTGATTGCATCATTTTTATATATATAAGGTGTGTTTTTGTTCTTGTTTTTTACTTTATATAAGCATATTGTATAAGGTGCTTTTACTGGCTTTAAAAGTAATTCCTGTGATGACCCTCCTATGAGGCCGTCACCGTAGCTTATTTTTTAACTTGTACTTACTGGGATTTTTTAAAATTTGCGAAATTTTTTTTTTAAATATAAGAAGGAATAATTTCATAATTCGTAATGATAATTTCAAAATAATGAATCACTAAATTTCTTAAAACTTTTCTTAATTTCAACTAAGATAAAACTTTCTCAAAATATCTTTCAAACTAAGTGATATTTGAACTCTTGTTTCACATACTCTTTAAAAGCCTTTCTAAAACTAGTCAATACATTCGGGCCATCTAATTTGATCTTAAAACGAATTTCGTGAGAAATCTTAAATTCAAGTACTTCTTAAAGTCCTTTCAAAATCAATCATTTAAACCATCGTATTTAAAGTTTGTTTATTTGTTGCATGCGCTGTTGCAACGTTCTAAAACTTAAAAACTCAAGACTAGGGTTGTTAGCTACAACCTCGGTTCTCTTAACATACATATGTACATATACTTTTTAAACATACGTGCTTGAAACCTTTGAATCATATATACATATACATGATTTTACTTTAACTTACTGCGGAAGATTTAACTGTGAGCGGTATCCATTCCCATCTCCACCATTC